ACCTCAGTCCTCTGTCCCAAGATGGATTCAGCACCAAGGTGCCCTGCTGTTACCAACAGGTCTCAGTCCTTATGCTGCCCCTCTCCAATTCTGCTCCAGGCTGGAACCACTGGGAGGCTGAACTTTTACCGAGAGGTTGAAGGTTTGAAATAAGATCTCCAGTTCCTAACATTCAGTCACCCACCTAGGGGTACAATGCAGTCAAGGATCTCCAAGCAGAAAGAGATCTTCCAGCAGGACTAATCAGTCAACCAGGGGAATTCAAGGCACAATAAATACTGTGACTAGTGACTGTGCTGAGCATATAAACAGAGCAGACGGCTTCCAAACCTTGCAAGGATTCTGCCCTGGTATTGGGACGCTCATCCCAGATAGTCCACATGCCTTTCAGTGGGGAGGTTGTGGGGGGAAGGGGAAAAGACAAATGACTGTCTGTCCATGAGTATAGCCTAGGGTATCATCTCCAGTGAGATATTTCTCCTCCTCAGAGAGGACCAAGCTGTATTACCAGGGATGAGATCAGACATGACACAGAGCACTGCATTTTCACTTGGGCTCAATACAGGGGTAACTGGGTGAAATTCTCTGGCCTGTGTTAGGCAGGAGGTCAGCATAGATGATTGAATGGTCCCTTCTGGACTTGGAATCTATGAACATTTAAATGGACTGTAAGCAGTGTTGTAACTGTGTCAGTCCCAGGATATTAGAGAGACAAGGTGGCTGAGGTAATAGCTTTTACTGCACCAATTTCTGTTGCTGAGAGAGACAAGCTTTTGAGCTACTCAGAACTCTTCCTCAGCTACTTATGCCCCTGCTCTTCTCTTAATCCTTTTATTGCTGCAGGATCCAAAGGAGATCATTTAAAACTTTGATACAGAGAATGCAAAAGAAAGTGTTCCACACTTAAATTCAGGAAATGCAAAAGTTTTGTCTTGTATTTTTTTTTTAGGGTGTACATTTTCAGAAGTGCCTGTTGATTTTGGATGCTCCACTTCTGGGTCCCCAGTCTGAGCAATCTTAAAGGGGTTGGTTGGTCAGGTGCTCAGCACTTCAGCAAATCAGGCCCCCCTCTGAGGGTGCATGTGGTCCCTGTAACTTGAATTCCATGGCATGCGTTCTTACTGCACTCCAAGCCTGTCCCAGCCCTGTGATTTCCATTGCTCATTTTATCTGCAGGTGCGAGGTCTCCGCATGCTACAAACCCAGGGACGGTGAACCCTGCACACTGAGGACATCCTCTTTGGATCACCTCCCCCAAGACCAGCCTGAGTTTTGTTCTCTTCTGTGCTTGCCCATTGCCACCTTCAGCGGAGCACTGCCATAGAAGAACCAGCAAGGCCAGGGCATAACGTCCCAGGCCACATGCCGCCTCAGACCAGACATGCCTCCAGCCGATCCTGATAGTTGCAAAAGCTGCCCCTGGAAGAGGAAATTTATTGCACTCCCTTGGGTCAGGGAACTAGAGCTTCCTGCTCCCAACTGTCTTGCAACGTGAAGCATTAGCACAATGGATGAGCTACCCCTGGCCTGTGTTTAGCATGCCCTTGAGAAATGGAGGGGTCACTTCAAAGCTCTGGTAGCTGTCGCAGTTCATGCCCTCTGGGAGGGAAGTGGGTTCCTTGTCATCTCCAGATGGCGCTGCAGCGGGGTGGGGCAAGGAGGGGAGTGCCACTTTCCTGATCAGCTGTACTTGGAGTGAACTTGCAACCAGTGTAGATACTGGAAAGGCTGCGATAGGCGGTTTTGGGGACACAAAAAGATAACGAGTCACCTTAAACAGCTGGAGAGTTTCAAACTAACCTCCAGACAATGTCCTGATGTTGCTTCGCCCAAAGCAAATTTGAAGATCTCTGTTAATGTTACAAATTCTTTGGGGTCAGGGGACAAGTTTACTCTGAATTATTTGGGGGCTTATTTGTCCTACAGGCACAAAGATGAGGGCTGCATTTAGGGCAAGGAGGAGCTGAAGGCGGCTTGCAGACCATGGCTTGGGTGCCAGTGATCTAGTGCAATAAGCGATTTCTGGGCATACGTTGATCTATGCACCGTGTTACAGTCACTGTAAAGCTAGGTCACCAGAGCGATCAACCTCTGCGTCCTGCTAAGTCTCTGAAAGCACAAGCTCCCCTGTTCAGTTAATGCTCCCATGGCCAGCTTACCTGCACTGAATGCTGGGTGAGAAAGAAACACCCTGGAGAGGTGAATGTATGGTGCCAATGGCATTGCACTCAAGTTCTGGGAGCAGGGGAGGTGAGTACTAGGGAGGCCATGGTATTGAGCCAGGCTAAGTTTAAACGTACCAGAGAGAACAGTTTTGCTGCAGAAGGCCCTGGAGCCAAAAACACTAGTGACACAGCGGTTGAGCCCCCTGGGAGAACCCCTCTCTCCAGCAGGAGACAGTTAACTCCCTTCTTTCTTGTTAAAAGGCTCTAGGTGCATGGTGCCAGGAAGGTGCAATAGCTGTGCGTGCAATGTGACCACAGAAGCAATGGGAGTTGGAATAGCCTTGTTTGCTACTCTTCACCACAAGGCTATTTATTAGTGTTGGTTGGCTTACTGCCCTGTTACTAACACGCCAAAGCCCGCATGCCTCTACTGCCTTACATGGGTGCAGGCGGTTCCGAACGCCCGGGTGGGCTCAGCCACCAGCTAAAATGCCCTTTTGTCAGGCCAGGAGGGGATCGCTGCACCTTATCCTGTCACAACAGTGTAATCTGTGATCTTGGCTAAGTAGATCTCGCCCTGTTAACATTGTAAACACTGATGCTTTCGCTGGCCACACAAAAATATTGGAGAGCAGAATTGCCCTGTGATAAAGAAAAACAAGCGCAAAACTCTAGGAATGTATAACCCCATTAAGGATTTTGGGCCTGCAATGCTTTTTTTTAAATGATAGAAACTCATTTCAGGATGAACTGTATATATGTTGGACATCAGCAAGTTTGTGTGTCTATGATAATTTGTAAAATATTGTTCAAAGAACTTTTAAGAAAGCTGTAAAATATTAAATATTGATTTATTTCAAGAGCAGTGTGAGTGCAGAGTTTGTGTAATCAATAAAATGCGGTGAGTGCCAAGCAATTCCTGACCACGAAAGGGGAATGATGTGAGGCATTGGAGCTGTATCCTTTCAAATGCAGTGATGGCTGTAGCTGGGTCGTTTGCAGGGGTTGAACCCCCATGGCTCCCGGATCTAAAAAGAATTAACCTCTACAGCTTGAGCTGAAGTACTGGACATATTACCTCAAGGACAGTGATAGACTCATAAACATATATAGTCCAGCCACTAGAGGGAAGTGAAGACTCACACTGCGTTAATTTGAAAAAAGAAAAGGAAAGCTTATGCTCAAATAAATTTGTTAGTCTCTAAGGTGCCACAAGTCTTCCTTTTCTTTTTGCGAATACAGATTAACACGGCTGCTACTCTGAAACTTGTGTTAATTTGAGTTACATATGCTTTTCCATAAAAAGAGTGACTGTATACAGTCAGTCTAAAATAGCTTTCCATCGGATAGAGGAAAAAGAACAAAAGTCAAGTCTCCACAAGAGAGCACAGTGTATGTGTAATACACATACACTGTAATACACTGCAGCCACTCCTGCACTGTTCTTGTTTTCAAGATAAATAAGGGATATTTTTTTCCAGGGCTGTAAGTCGTGCTGCTCCTATGACCACACATAAAATTACACCAGGTTGCAATGTGATACATCCAAGCAAGAGGAGGTGTTACCCCTTACAGAAAAAAATACTTACATAGAGTAAGAGGCTTTAATAACCTTCTGGTAAGATTAGGACAACTCCTATGTCTCTAGGATATCTTTTCTTTTCACCTAGCAAATGTTGCATTCTGGCCTGTGCTTTTCTAGCCCATACTCACCCTCCCGCCGCCCCACAAAAAAACCACCAAAAAGGAAATAGCCTCCCCCCAATATTAAATGAGTCTTTAAAAAATAATTTTAACTAGTTGTTTCAAGTGTACCCATGCCCTTTTGTGTTCCCTTTCTGGGGATATTCAAGAAAACAAGATGTTTAGCTGAAATGTCTGAAGGAATTGACAAATTCCAGTGAATAAGCTCGGAAAAAATGCAATCTCCTTGTGAATAGCTTGAGCAAAGAGAAGGTGACAGCTTTATATATAAACAATCTTTTAGGAATTAGCTGCTGAGCACTATTTTAATTCTGATCAGAGCTGGTTGAAAATTTTAGCAATTTTTAATTAAAATGGCTTTTGAAGGAAACAAATACTTCCACTTTTTTTAAAATTTTTTAAAAATGAATTGAATTTTTTTCAGTTTATTTTAAAAACACTTCCCCATCTTTCTCCCTTTTTAAGGGAGAGAAAGGAAAGATGAGGAAAAAAGAAACAACATTTTTTTTTTTAAATCCAAACCAAAATGGAACACTTTTGTTCACCTTTTTTAAAAAAAAAAACAAAATGAAAAATTCTTGTTTCATTTATAACTTTCCAGGGAAAATACCTGCTATTTGTCAGCCTGGACTAATTCTGATCCTCTAAGTCTTGGTCTACAAAAGGTTTCTGGGGAGGGCAGCCTTATTCCGTCCACCATGGTAGGACACTTTACCACTCCAGGCCAGTAGCACGTACTCAGGAATCATTGTAGAACAAAGCATTGCAGTGTATGTTTGCTGGCGTTCAAACAACATCCATTCTTTATCTCTCTGTGTTATCCTCAGGAGAGTGATATCATTCATGGTCACCTGGTTGAAATAGGGTGTTTTTCTTAAGGAGATATTCAGAGGTGCCCGTTCCTGCTGGGCTGTTTGCCTGTAGCTGAACAGAAATGTTCCCCGCTGTTAGCCACAGGGAGGGGGGAGGTGCTAGCTACGCGGTGGGGGGAGGCAAAATGCAACCTTGGAACGAAAGCACATGTGCTATGTATGTAATGTTAACAGCAAGGTTTACCGTGAAAGAGTGTACCTATTGTTCTATAAAATGTGTCTTTTTAAATACCACTGTCCCTTTTTTTTTCTTCACCAGCTGCATGTGTTTCAAGGATCACAGGATCTTCTCCTTCCCAGAGGCTAGTGAAGATTAGAAGGCAGAAAAAACGCACTCGCGATGAAATGTTCTCTGATGAAATGTTCTCTCTAAAATCTTACTGTCCTCCCACACTGACAGAGCACAGACGAATACGTGGAGGCAGACAATGTCAGAGTGCAGGAAAGCACAAAATGTCCGGGAGGAGAGGTGGCGGGCTGAAGCTGAAAGGTGGCGGCAGCGTGATGAGAGGAGGCAGGAGTCAATGCTGAGGCTGCTGGAGGATCAAACTAATATGCTCCAGCATATGGTAGAGCTGCAGGAAAGGCAGCAGGAACACAGACTGCTGCTACAGCCCCTGTGTAACCAACCACCCTCCTCCCCAAGTTCCAAAGCCTCCTCACCCAGATGCCCAAGAACGCGGTGGGGGGGCCTCCGGCCACCCAGCCACTCCACCCCAGAGGATTGCCCAAGCAACAGAAGGTTGGCATTCAATAAGATTTAAAGTTTTAAACTTTTAAAGTGCTGTGTGGCCTTGTCCTTCCCTCCTCCACCACCCCTCCTGGTGCTTCTCTCCTCCACCACCGCTCCTGGGCTACCTTGGTAGTTATCCCCCTATTTGTGTGATGAATTAATAAAGAATGCATGAATGTGAAGCAACAATGACTTTATTGACTCTGACAGTGGTGATCGAAGGGAGGAGGAGAGGGTGGTTAGCTTACAGGGAAGTAGAGTGAACCAAGGGGCGGGGGGTTTCATCAAGGAGAAACAAACAGAACTTTCACACTGTAGCCTGTCCAGTCATGAAACTGGTTTTCAAAGCTTCTCTGATGTGTACTGCGCCCTCCTGTGCTCTTCTAACCGCCCTGGTGTCTGGCTGTGTGTAACCAGCAGCCAGGCGATTTGCCTCAACCTCCCACCCCGCCATAAACGTCTCCCCCTTACTCTCACAGATATTGTGGAGCGCACCGAAAGCAGTAATAACAGTGGGAATATTGGTTTTGCTGAGATCTAACCGAGTCAGTAAACTGCGTCAGCATGCTTTTAAACGTCCAAATGCACATTCTACCACCATTCTGCACTTGCTCAGCCTGTAGTTGAACAGCTCCTGACTACTGTCCAGGCTGCCTGTGTACGGCTTCATGAGCCATGGCATTAAGGGGTAGGCTGGGTCCCCAAGGATAACTATAGGCATTTCAACATCCCCAACAGTTATTTTCTGGTCTGGGAATAAAGTCCCTTCCTGCAGCTTTTGAAACAGACCAGAGTTCCTGAAGATGCGAGCGTCATGTACCTTTCCCGGCCATCCCACGTTTGATGTTGGTGAAACGTCCCTTGTGATCCACCAGAGCTTGCAGCACTATTGAAAAGTACCCCTTGCGGTTTATGTACTCGCTGGCTTGGTGCTCCGGTGCCAAGATAGGGATATGGGTTCTGTCTATGGCCCCACCACAGTTAGGGAATCCCATTGCAGCAAAGCCATCCACTATGACCTGCACATTTCCCAGGGTCACTACCCTTGATAGCAGCAGATCTTTGATTGCGTTGGCTACTTGCATCACAGCAGCCCCCTCAGTAGATTTGCCCACTCCAAATTGATTCCCGACTGACCGGTAGCTGTCTGGCATTGCAAGCTTCCACAGGGCTATTGCCACTCGCTTCTCAACTGTGAGGGCTGCTCTCATCTTGGTATTCTTGCACCTCAGGGCAGGGGAAAGCAAGTCACAAAGTTCCATGAAAGTGCCCTTATGCATGCAAAAGTTTCACAGCCACTGGGAATCATCCCAGACCCACAACACTATACGGTCCCACCAGTCTGTGCTTATTTCCCAAGCCCAGAATCAGCGTTCCACCACATGAACCTGCCCCATTAGCACCATGATGCCCACATTGCCAGGGCCCGTGCTTTGAGAGAAGTCTGTGTCCATGTCCTCATCACTCTCGTCACCGTGCTGACGTCGCCTACTCGCCCGGTTTTGCTTTGCCAGGTTCTGGTGCTGCATATACTGCTGGATAATGCGTGTGGTGTTTAATGTGCTCCTAACTGCCAAAGTGATCTGAGTGCGGGCTCCATGCTTGCCGTGGTATGGCGTCTGCACAGAAAAAAGGCACGGAACGATTGTCTGCCATTGCTCTGACGGAGGGAGGGGTAACTGATGACATGCCTTACAGGGTTGGCTTACAGGGAATTAAAATCAACAAAGTGGGAGGCTTTGCAAGAAACAGAATGGCCCCCTCAAGGATAGAACTCAAAACCTAAAGGATAGAACTCACAACTGGGTTTAGCAGGCCATTGATTTCACGGAGGGCGGGAGGAGAAAATGAATACAAAGCAAATCTGGTCTATTTCTTGTTTTGATCCACTTCATCTATCTTTATACATCTTGCTGGCAGCAGACTGTGCAGTACGACCACTAGCCTTCGTCATATCCTGGGTGCTCGGCAGAAGACGGTGCAGTATGACTGCTGGCCATTGTCTTCTGCTGGCTGCAGATTAAAAGACAGTGCACTGCCGGTAGGACTGAATCGCCATGAGACGAAACTTAAAAGGGAAATGACCTGGCTGAGTCACTCCCATGTTTGCCCAGGCGCCCCTGACCTCATTGAGGTTGGATAAAAGAGCACCCAGGACTACATCGACGACGGCTACCAGTCATACTGCACTGTCTGCTGCCAAAAGGCAATAAACTGCTGCTGTGTAGCAATGCAGTACCACGTCTGCCAGCACCCAGGAGACATACGGTGACTGTGAGCTGAGCGGGCTCCATGCTTGCCGTGGTATGGCATCTGCACAGGTAACTCAAGAAAAAAGGTGCAAAACGATTGTGTGCCCTTGCTTTCATGGAAGGAGGGAGGGAAGGGGGGCCTGACAATATGTACCCAGAACCACCCGTGACAATGTTTTAGCCCCATCGGGCATTGGGAGTTCTACCCAGAATTCAAATGGGCGGCGGAGACTGTGGGACCTGTGGGATAGCTACCCACAGCGCAACACTCCGGAAGTCGACTGTTGCCTCAGTACTGTGGACACACTCTGCCGACTACATGCACTCAGAGCGTTTGTGTGGGGACACACGCAATCAACTGTATAAAAACGCTTTCTACAAAACCGACTTCTATAAATTCGACCTAATTTCGTAGTGTAGACATACCCTAAGCACAGTTAGATTCCTTGGGGATTTAGGAACATTTTCCATTAAAAGGACTAATGCAAGGTCTACACTAGAAAATTCCTGTATAGCTACACCAGCAAACCCTCCTAGTGTAAGTGCAGCTTATACCAGTAAGGGAGTGCTTTTTGCCAGTATAGTTTATGTCAGTTCCTACACCAGGATAAAAAACTTTTATAGTCCTATAACTGCATCTACACTAGAAACTTCTGCCTGTATAGTAATGTATCAAAAAGATACATATATCACACTCCTAACCCACAAAAATTTCTGTTGCAGACTTGGCCTGAATTCCCTGCACTTCTTTGAAAATCTCAACTTCTTTGTTTCTGCTGCTTAGTGGAACTGAACCCCATAAACTTCCTCAAATTTGTGCCATGGCTGAGTCATCCATTACTTTTCTTTCAGCCCATACACCTGAATGGCATTTGTAAACCAGGATTTGTCTAACTTGTGACTCCAGTACCTTCAAACCACACACGATCCTTCCTACAAGGAAACAGCAACCTAATTATACCTATAAAAGCATATTGTAGCCCTGCCAGTTGGCTAGCTAGAAGAAATTACTTTAACACACAGGTGGGTACCATTACACCCATCATTCAGAGTAGGCTGAAAAACAGGAACTTTGAGGGCTTGTGTACGCAGGGAAAATTACGAGCATAATGGGTATAACTGGTATAATTATATAGCTCTGCCAGTAACTTTCCCTTTGTAAACAAGCCCGTAAGCCACAAAGTTCCAGGAAAACTTGGCTAAATAATAATTTTAAAACCCCCAAATCTTTGGCCCTGGGACAGAAGCCCTTGGTGAATGAAGTTCATATTAGTACCTGTACCTTAGTACAGCTTCATTTCCCTCTCCAGCTCACAGCCCATCACCATTTAGAAATAGATGTAATACTCCTTCTGTTGTGCCCAGTGTACTGTTCAAAACCATGTAAAACTTCAGCTGTATAAAAGCCCTTGCCAAGGGTCCACTTGCCCTTTTAACACATGGGGTGCAGACTATGGGAGGGATGGGTTGCAGTTTTTAACCAGAACAATGTGGGGAAGCCTTGGCATTGGAAGGGTTTGCCTTCTGTTCTGCAAGCTCAGCTCAGTCATAGCACCTGTGGGCATCTCATCAGCTCTTATAGCTAAGCAGGGATCTGCCAGGTCAGGATTTGGATAAGTGAACCTGGGGAAACCAAGATGGGACAGGAGGTGTTTGTCATGTTGTTCAGGTGACGGAGTAACGTGCATAAAAGGATGTTGTCAGGGTTTTCCACCATCCAGGTTAATGGTAATTGGCTCAGTGGTGGGTAGTTCTTGTTGCCCACTTGTTTGTTCAATGTAATGTTTCCAGTCACTTCCTCTTGCTAGGTAAGTTGTTCTTGTAAGTGACAACGTCAAAGTGTCTTCTGTACTTTCTTTCTGCTTCCTTGTAGACAAGGTGGTTTGTGGTTTTAAGATATAATGGGCGACATTCAAGTAAATTCTGCCTATTAGAGGGAGCAAAGGAGATGGTGCTCCAGCCATGGTGTTAATTTGACAGGGCTAATCCCCAGAATTACGTTTTATGGAGCTGAGTTTTGCTGCTTTTCATGGAATAATGTATTGGAATTGTTTGCAGATATTTAATCAGCTCTAAACTGTAAGGACCATTATCAGAAGCATGACCCAGCACTTCCAGACATGTTAAATGTTTGTTTGTGTTTACAGGATTAGAATTAACTAGATCTTAATAGAACCATAGAATATCAGGGTTGGAAGGGACCTCAGGAGGTCATCTAGTCCAACCCCCTGCTCAAAGCAGGCCAAGCCCCAATTTTTGCCCCACATCCCTAAATGGCCCCCTCAAGGATTGAACTCACAACCCTGGGTTTAGCAGGCCAATGCTCAAACCACTGAGCTATCCCTCCCCCCAATTATTGCATAATTGGTACAAATAATTCATAAACCCATGACATAACGTCACCTTTTTACTGTGTGCTCCATTTGTCATTTTCTCAAATTATTTGTTTGAAATTAAAGATACTGAGAAATTCCTGGGAATAATTCTTATCTGTAACTAGAGCTGGGTGGAACAAAAAAAAAATTATTAAAAAAATGCAGATTTGGCAACACTGAAACATTTTGTGAATTCATGTCGGTTTCACTGATTTGTTTTGGTTGAAAAAAAAAACAGAAAAAAAATTAAACATTGCATTTTGACACTGTTGCGATGAAAGCTTTAGATTTATTTTGTTTGAAATGCCTTAGTTTTGAAATTTCCTTTAATTTTATTTTAAAAATAACAATGTTACCAAAAGGCTCAAAATTAAAATGATTTTACATTTTTCAGGATTCACAGTGACCCAAAAAGTCCATTGTTCACACAGATCTCTCCATCACCCATTCGCAACCCCTTTGCAGTGGTGAGCATTCAATAGGTGAAGCTGGAGCTGTTCTGA